CCGCGAAGGGAAATTGGTCGCGAACTGGGAAGGACCCTATTGCGTCCATGGCACCACAGGCACCGGGGCATATTACCTCGAGCAGCTAAACGGAGAACCATTGCCACGACCCTGGAACGCTGCTAAGCTAAAACAATACTATAGCTAAAGCCCTTAAACACTAAGGACTCTCGTCGTCGAACATCCACATCTAGTCAATAGAGAGAAATGTCTCGACCACGTAGATAGGCCAAGGTACGGGCCCAATCTACACCCAAACGACATAACGCCGTTCAGCCAACGAGGCCGAACAACAATGCCCGACAGGGACACCTCAATCGAGCTCCACTGTCGAAGTACCCACATGGCAGAACACCTAGCTCGCGATGGGCAGTTCATGCTGCGCGCATACGACCTCGATCTGGGTCATATGCTCGACACGCGGGCTTCACTCTGCACAACCGACACATATCGAAGTACGTCGGACCACCAAACGGGTCGAAAGGATATCTCCATTCGAGGATATAACTTAGGCAAATTTCGTCACAAAGTAACAGTCGAATACAAGCGTAGCTCGAGGACACAACAGACAAATTTCGTCACAAAGTAAAACTTAGACACGAGCAAGTTTAAAGTTAAAATGAACATCCATTGAAAAGTTTATACACAAGACGGGTTAAAAATGGACCGACCAAAAAGGCCGGCGATGTTCAGGGTTACAAGCCATGGCACGACGGCCAAAAGAAATAAGCACGGGCACACAGGCCCCAAAAATGAACACAGGCACGCTGGCCCCAAAACAAATACCAATAAATGGGCACGCAGGCCCGACCAGAAACTCCACGCTAAACGTTCCCAAGACTACCAGCGTCCACCACAGGAGACTCAGGAGGAGGCACGACCTGACCGTCAATAATCTGAGACATGAACCCCACTCCCTCGGTATTCATGCCCAGATTCAGTATGGCGAGCTGGCTGATCGCAGCCTCAAACCCATCTGCTAAAGCGCCGACACAGTCTGTCTCAAGGAGGTGGATACGCGCGACCAAATATGAACGGGTCCACAAAGGGGTTGTCTCCTCCGACTCATCGTCAGCAGGAAGCATAACAACTTTTAGCTCCTCGACTTCCTTAGACAAACATTCGTTGTCAGCCTCAAAGCGTTCCTTGTCCAGTTGGAGGCAATCTCTCTCCTCAACAACCTTCCCAGAGTTTTCCTTCTCCCCTGCCAGCAGGTCGACTTGTTTGCGAAACATTTCCTCAGACCGCTCGAGGGCCGCCTTTAACTTACGAGAACTGGCAGCGAGGGCAGCTTTCTCCGACTCCAACTCCCTGACACGGTCCGAGGAGTCCGACCCTTCCTCGGCAAGGACAACGGCCATCTCGGCCATCTTCACCATTCCAACCATGCTGGCAGCCAGGTGTTTCCTCCGACTTTCTTTATCGAGCCGTCTGATAGTCTCGGCCTCGTCGTTGCTCACCGTTAGAGGAAACCCCTCGAAGAAATCTTTCTCTTTAAAACAAAGGGGTTAGCCGAAGGCCCTCGCAGCTACAGACTCGTCCCCAACCTCCGGCCTGTTATCAGCCCGACTTCTCTTTCTCGTAATCAGCTCGGTGGGCTGTTCAGCGTCAGGGGAGCCCGGGGACCCACTAGAGGCATCGCCCGAACTGGCCGGCAGGCCCATCCTCGTGGCTTGTGAAGCTCGCACTAGCCTTTTGTTTACTTTCTTGTGTTGAGTCAGTTTCAACAGCCTCTCCCGTCGTTCAGCCATGTCGCCTGCAAAAAAGAGCAAAGCTCGGGTTAGTTGTAAGCAAGCAAAAACAACGAAAATGGAATAAAACAATAAAAGCAAAAGCAACAAACCTAGTAGATCTACGGCCTGCCCGTAAGATTGGCACTCGACGAGCGCCTTGGTGTCGATGGGACGGGCCTCGAATATCGGGTACCCATCCTCGTCAAGAATATCTTCCCCCTCCCTCGTGACCCACCGGGCAGGGAAGAAGCTGTCGACATACTTGCAAAGGACACCATAGGCTTCTTCGTCCTCGACGCTCATGCTTCTCGCGAGTGTATGATAGTACCCGGTGCCATGGTCGTAATGGCCCGAACACCAATGTATCGGGAACTTGGATATGCGCTCCACTGCCGGACGACCCTCGGCGTCCATGAGGGGCTCCCCGTCCTCGTCGACTACCGCGGTTTCTGGTTCGTACAAGGAATCCAAGGCAGTCTGGGTGACCGGCTGCAGAACGTACCACTTATCCTTGAAGCCCCGGACCGAATCCATATACATCCTGAATAGCCTCTTCGATTGTTTCAGGGATACCCAACTATGCCTGCCTCCTCGAGACTGACGCTGCAGGTGAAAAACCCTGAAGAAAAGGGGAATCGTCACCCCGATCCTCAAGAAACGACATGTCAGCTCGAATGCCCGAAGGAAGGCGATCAAATTATGGTGAAGCTGCGAAGGGGCCAAGTTCAGATGACATAACACCCCGGCTTGGAAATCGCTGAAAGGGAGCTTAAGACCGAGATCCTTGAACACGATCTCGTACATTGGAAACCCATACTCGGTAAACTCCGAGTAGATTCGTGCATCGACGGACGACCTCATCACAATAAAATTCTTCTGGAAACCTGGCTGACTACCGCCGTGCTCGACGATAGTATATGCACGCCGACTACGCCGACAGTACGCCGAGGCAATCCCCCGGGGCTCGGCGCCCACCCAGTCCAATGAGGGGTCATCGATGGTATCAACTAAAGTCACGTTCTCTTCGGTACTTGGGTCATCGACTTTGTTTTGCCTCGAAGATTCCGGTTCGTCGGCCATTTATCCGCAAAGCACAGGAAACCGGTGAAATTCGAGAGCAAATCCGCGTGCTCGCCACAGAGATGAGAAATAGTACACGACAAGTCGAACACGGACACCCCAGCTCGACCAGGCGTCAGGAACAACAAGGGAATAACATGAACACCCCGGACAATAAACATGGATAACTCGAGCTGGGTCCTGACTTCGCCTGCCCGACACTAAGATGCTACGACGGACTATCCTACATACTCTCTAAGGGGTCAACATCCCGGCCAGCTCATGGGTGCACCGACCAAAACTACGAATGTGACGGGCAGCATCATAGATCATATGCCTAAAACTACGAATGTCACGGGCAGTATCATAGATCATGTGCCTAAAACTATGAAGGTCACGGGAAGCATTGCGAGTCACGTACCTAAAACTATGGGTTTACCGGGCACAATCATGAATCTACCGGACACTACTCCCGGATGTGGGTTTCTAACATCCAAATAACGTTAAAACTACCTACAACAAAGAAAAACATGAGGAATGAACACTTACTTGGAAGAAAAGATGAACGTACGACAACGATGAGAGTAATCAACAGAGGATGGTGCGGTGATCTCACGGCGTTGCAGAAAACGACGGCGGCGGAAGCAGAGGAAGAATGAGAAGCGCGAAGAAGAAAAACAAATTATGGGCCCAAGGATCCTATTTATAGGGATGACGTGGAATACGAAACGTCGCCCCGGGAAGCCGCGAACTTCCCCTCCTCGACATCTATTCCCCTAGGCAATGATGACCCTATTGCCGCTAGGGTGGCGTCACGGTTCCCGAGGACTGCCTCGTGTATCCAACAAACACAGCCCGCGAGGAATTCCCCGAGCACGCGTCGACGAGGATCACGCTACGAATGCAACCCGTGAGAAACTCCTCGAGCACGCATCAAAAAAGCAAAATCCTGGTCCGGGCATCAGATCCCCGTGGTAGAGGCGAGCTGAAGTCAAGTCATAACTCCTGTCCCAGGAGCAACGACTTGGGGGGCTCCTGTTCTGGACTGGGCCCACCCTGGCCCAAAGCAAAGATAAAGGCCCAATCTAAGCAGACTCCTCGAGGAATGCGCACCCGTGGATCACCGCCGACGTGCCCGACCATAGATTGTAGCCACGATGCTCGCCATTGTCCACGACACATAGTGTCTCCGACCAAGGGAACTCCAGCTCGAGTCCTGCTCGAGCACTCTCCTCGTAGGGCAGACTCTATCCGTTCTAACCGTTATCGAGTCCTCTAAGCCCCAGAAAGACCGCATCTTCGTCCCTCCTTATTCTTCGCAGAGCACCACCAGGGAGGGGACTACGTGCGGATCCCCACTACGCACGTAGAACCTGGCAGTCCCTTTATTGGGCCATTTCTGGTCAGCCCAATGAGGGGACCTTGGCCCAATGTTAGGGACTATAAATATCCTATGTTCCTAGAGGATCAGGTATTCATCTATTACGCATCTATACAATTTTTGCCTGCTCATTCCGTCTCTCATTTTAGCATCGAAGTGTCTTGCAGGTACCCCCATTCTCACTCAAATTCTGCTCGAGCCAGTCGTGACAGTCCAAGTCTGATCCGGTAAGATCAGATAGTATTTGAATTTGAAATTTATTCTTATCAACTTGAAATGTATTTTAATGTTTATGTAAATCAAAACAATATTAAATTACTCAATTGGTTTTAATAAATTATATTAAATATTTATTTTAAATTTGAAATTATCATTTATTAATATTTAATTATATAATTAAATTTGTTTTTAATCTTTTAAATATATATAACGATTTTTGTCATTTTATTAATCACGAGATACCATTTTAAAATTCATTTTTTTAAATTAAATTTTAGAATTTTTTAACAAAATTTGATTAACATTAAAGACTTAATACTTTTTTGGACAAGTATATTACTCTAACCGTTCTTTTTATTTCTCAATTTAAATGCGGTGTATTTCTCATTCTAATGAGTACACATCAATACTTAAAAGTTGATGTATATTATTAACTTATATTAATAATTTAAACAAAAAAAATTAAAAATTAAACTATTAAAATTAAAAAAGAAAAAAGGAAAAGAAAAGAAAAGGCATAACATATACTCTGGATAGAGTAACTCTTAAAACCCTAGTTGTAATCTGTGTATACACCTTGCGGCCAAACCATAAGCCACTTCTCAACAATGGCGAATGACGAACTCCAATCTCTAGATTTAGGTTACGACCCCAACTTCGTCCCCGATTCCGTCAAAACCTTCGTCGTCCATCTCTATCGTCACATCCGAGAGAAGAATGTATACGAGATCCACCAGATGTACGAAAGCTCCTTCCAATCTCTATCGGAGCGTCTCTTCAAGGACACTCCTTGGCCCTCCGTCGACGCCGTCGCTCAGTACGTCGACAACGACCATGTCTTCTGTCTTCTGTACCGTGAGATGTGGTTTCGCCACCTGTATGCGCGTTTGACTCCTACTGTTCGCCAGAGAATCGATTCGTGGGATAATTACTGTAATTTGTTCCAGGTTGTGCTTCATGGGGTGGTGAATATGCAGTTGCCGAATCAGTGGCTTTGGGATATGGTTGATGAGTTTGTTTATCAGTTTCAGAGTTTTTGTCAGTATCGGGCTAAGATGAAGAATAAGAATGAACAGGAAATTGCTCTCTTGAGACAGTTTGATCAGGTTTATAGATATAACTAACTAGCTTTTCTGTTGGGTTTGCTTCTCTATATTTTTTTAATTGTAATTTGTTCTCTAATTTTGCTTTTTATTTTGATTCGTCTTCTTTTTATGAATTTTATTGTACTTAAGGTTTGTTTGAATTGATTTATTTGAGTTTGTCTAGTAAATTCTGAGAGCTTATGAAAATAACTTATGGTGTGCATACCTGTTTTTAGCTTCTTTTTTTTTTGTTTTTTTGAAAGCTCTCCAAGGGCACTCACGAAAACAGCTTTAGTGTATGTTTGGTTTCACATTTGGAGCACTCAAAATTGATTATGGAGGTGTAGGTGTAGAATTGATTCTTATGTGTTTGGTTGCTCTCAAGGATAATTGATTATGCTTAACACCATCAATCCACTCAAAAGCAATTTTCTTCACCGCTAAAGCTTATATGAAATCAGTTTGGCTTTATTTTATTTTTGGAGTAGAAATAGCTTATGCATAGCCACTTATATGATAATTACTTGATTAAAGTGTTTATCCAAAAAGGGTCTTAATTATGTTATGTCTTTTGCTGTCTTAGGCTTGGAATGTTTTCGGTGTTTTGAACTTCTTGCAAGCTCTTGTTGAGAAGTCAACGATTATTCAGATACTAGAGCAAGAGAAGCTAGGGCTTGAGCAATTCACTGCTAATGACGGTTATGATTACAATGGGGGTAGCAATGTCTTGAAGGTTTTGGGGTATTTCGGTATGGTTGGCTTGCTGAGGGTTCATTGTCTCTTGGGTGATTATCATACTGGTCTCAAGTGCTTGCAACCTATTGATATTAGTCAGCCTGGTCTCTACACCATTGTTATTGGATGCCACATTACAACCATTTATCACTATGGTTTTGCAAATCTTATGCTCCGCAGGTATTACATCCACTCCTTTCTGTGTATATTATGATGCTGTTCTTAAATTATTAGTTTCATAATGTTAGTGATTCACACATCCTTACAAATTAAAAGAAATTTACAGCCTAAACCACTTGTTTATTTTAGGCAGCTTTGCTCTGTATGCATTACTTGAAAAGTGGTCTCTATTGTGGTACTGTATTGCCTATGTACATGCACAAGAAGTTGGTAGTGTTCAACATGGGTTGTCTTATTTAGAACTTCATCTTGCTATATGCAAGCATGGCTGGAGATTTGTATCTGTTCTTTCTGGGGTTTTTAGGTTATGAATTGGCAAACACTCAAGAGATTCATTCATTTGAAGATTTAGCATATCTATTGTAGAATTGTATTTCACAATGTTTATGGGTTATATTATTACATGGTTTGAAATCTTGCCTTTTCTACAGATATGTGGAAGCAATTCGAGAATTCAACAAAATTCTCTTGTACATCTTTAAGACAAAGATGTATCATCAGAAATCTCCTCAGTATGAACAGATTTTGAAGAAGAATGAACAAATGTATGCCTTGTTGGCGATATCCCTCTCACTCTGTCCACAGAGCAGGCTCGTTGATGAAACCGTGAACTCTCAGTTGCGAGAGAAGTATGGTGAAAAGATGACTAGAATGCAACGGTATGATGATGAGGCTTTTGCTATGTATGATGAGCTCTTCTCATATGCATGCCCCAAATTTATTACCCCATCAGCGCCCAATTTTGATGAACCTCTAGTAAACTACAACCAGGTACCCCTTAAACTCCATCTGTTTCTGGACCAAAGAGCATTTTGAGTGATTGCTTAGATATAAAACTTCAAATTTTAAGTTACCTTCAATTAACTTTAAATTTGAATTTGAAAGTACTTGTTTTCTCTTTCTCTTTATTATCAAATTCATAAATAGCTGCCTTATGAGAAAGAGAAAATGATCTATTGACCTATAGTCTGCTGGGCAGTTAATGAACTGTGCTAAAATGAGTTGACATTTTGGAATTCATGTTCCCTTAAATTTCATTAATGTCTCGTGTTTGCTACCCGAATTTTTATGGGGTAACTATTTTCTTCAGTTTTTTTCCGTACAGTTAAATGCTCTTTTATTTGTTAAAACATGTATTCATGTTCACGTATCTGATCTCATGCCTCTATTGACTCCACAAGCTTTCTATAATAATGACCTGATTTGTGGCTTACAATGATCTGACGTTCACTCAACGTATCAGCCATAATAGTTTAGATTTTTTTGCTCCCTTCCATTCCCATTTACTCTAATGTATTATTGAAAGTTACTTGTTTCACCAGGATGCCTATAGACTTCAATTGAAACTGTTCCTTTATGAAGCAAAGCAGCAGCAGTTGTTATCAGGTCTCCGGACATTCTTGAAAGTATATTCAACAATCTCCCTTGCAAAACTCGCCAGTTACATGGAAGTAGATGAACCAACCTTAAGGTTGCAAGACTCATAATTAATTTTGCATTTTCTTGGATCAATATTTTCTTTTGTTTATTAAATTTATATTTGGACACTAGTTTATTTATGCGTTTTGATTTTTGATGTTTGGCAGGACTATCTTGATGACATACAAGCACAAGACTCATGCTGTCGATACTGCTGGAAAAGTTATATCCAATGCTGATGTGGATTTCTATATCGATGATGTAAGCCTGCTTACTTTTTCCTCCTGCCTTGAAGGGATTCTTATTCAAAATATAGTTCGGAAATGTTAACACTTAACAGAGTTTCTGGGCCATAGTAAGCAAGGGCTCTTTCTTAGTTTAATATTTATCTTGATAATAGTAGTGATATCATTTCCTTGCTCTCAAAACCTTTATTAAATTGATGATAAAGTATGTCTCACGAGTCTAAACTGGATTAGATAGTGTGATCATCTCTTGGTTGGTCCTATCAAATTTCATATTAGTTTTCCTAGCTTGAAGACACAAATTAGGCTTTAGGATTAATATTTATATCGAATGATGCTGCAACAAGTTTTGAATTATGTTTTCACTTACTGCTGCAGGACACAGTTCATGTTGTGGAGTCTAAACCTGCCAAAAGATATGGGGATTACTTCCTGCGTCAGGTGGTTAAGGTATGCTCGTTTCTCCGACACTGTTCATATTTGTCAGATTTGTGAGAGTTATCATTATTTCTTATATTACCATTTTCTTCTGTGTTGTTTACAGCTTGAAGGAGTGATCAATGAGATGGACAGTATAAAGCTGGAGTGAGTTGATAGACTTCATACCCTTGTTGGTTCCTCTTTCTAAAATGCTTTGCCGGCGGAATTTTGTTCATTTTGTTGAAGTGGTAGGATGTAGTTAGCTTCCTACATGTGATACTAAATACTAATTTTTTAAGTTTATTTTATTTAGAGAACTAACTTATGTTTTCAAATGAGGCATATAGATTCAATGTTACTTATATTTTTGTTGGAGTTTCTGGTCCAGACTGAACCTGCAGTTTTCTATTCCCAGAATCAGCTGAAAATAACACAGCTCTTGAAATATTGACAATTGAGAAAGTTAATCAGCTTCTTAATTTTGTGAATCATCTAAACCCTACAATAATTTTTAGGTTGACATGTGGTTGATTTCATAATAATTGACATTAGTAAAGGACCATTCGCACGGTCACGCATGTGGTTTTTTTGTGAGTTGTTAAATTTTTTGTTTTATATGTTTGTATGTAGAGTATAGGAGTAAGGAAGTATACATTCTATCTTTATGATATGGAGCTTTGAATATGTGGGGTGGCATTTTATTCGAGTAATCACTTGAAATGTTTATATCTATTTGTAGTCTCCAAATAGACCTGTGTGAACACGCAGGTCGAGGAATATGGAAAATAACAATAATAAATAAAAATGTAAAATTATTTTAACAAGATAAATGAAATAGTTGAAGCTATTAATATTAGGGGTTTGTCAAAAAGAATTAATTTATTAAATCATAAAATAAAATAACAAAAAAATATTAAAATTATATTATTTAAAACCTGTTTGCAAATTTGGTAATAAATAGAATAATTTAAACATCTTTCTTATAAATGTTAAATGCATAATAAAACAAATTGAATAAAAAGAACGATAAATATGTGTTTTTCAAAAGACAGTTATGTTTTTCATAAGTTATAACTGTCCTCTTTTTTAAAAACAAATATTTTAAACAATTTTTAGTATAGATATTATTATTTTATCGTGTATATTTTTAATATTAAAATTAAAATATATTATATATACTGATCTGGACTGAGCCTGCAATTGTCTTCTGGTTGGGAGGTCTAACCCAATACTCTTGTATAAGGTCCAAAAGCAAGCCGTCTAAATTAGGGATCGTTGGACAATTCTCTACACATTCAATGGAGAACGTGGTCCACGTCCCCACGTCACAGTCATCTTAACTGCCCTTCGAAAATCACGGGTCCAACCCCTATTCTCACGGGGCAATTGACTAGGAGGAGTCCATTTGTTGGACTCCATACACACGTAAGCCCTGATAGTTTCCATTATTGGGCCTCAATATGATCCAACAATGGGGATCTTGGCCCAACACTGGAGGTTATAAATACCTTTTCTTTCTAGAGGGTCCGGTATTGAACATTTCTCACTCTCTTACTTGCTAGTTCATTTCAAATCTCACTTTGGCATCAGAGTGTCTTGTAGGTACCTCCACCTAACTCTCAAGTTCTGCTCGAAGTAAGTTGTGACGGTCCATTCTAGTCAGGTACGACCAGTGGCGCTGTCTGTGGGAACCATTGCTTCTCCGTCTTCATTCACCCAAGACAAAAGCTAATCCAACTCCTTTCTGACTGTCATGGTTAATCACACGGCAGGAAACAATCTGGATGTCCATCTTGCCGACGCCAACAACAAGGTTGTCGACCACGACACCGACATGAACAACACTGGTCTCGCTGACCTCAATGTCAGTAACAATAACAACACTGTCAACACCAACGACCACACTGGCGGAATGCCTGACCCCTCAGAGTACAGAGACGGGCTGACTGCCTCTTCGTTATCACTGTCCCGACGACTCGAAGACGATCGTCGTCCTCTCTAGAACTATCATCCGCTCGCGTTCCAGGAGATCCCCGTTCCTGCGGGTGTTGATGCCACGACCAGGGCGCTGTTCGCAACAATAAATCAAGCAAACTACTTGATTTTTTCGCAAGGGGGGAGATTAAGGGCGCTCGAAGATTCTCGGAGAGCCCCCAGAAGACATAGGAGGTCTGATTTTCCTCCTTCTCGTCAGACAAAAGACCGTCTCCAATCTCCCCCGCGGAGACGCATACAGGATGCCTCTAGAAGCCTCTCTCCTCGACCAATCAGGCGAAGCCCCACGTTAAAGAGGGATCAGCCCGTAGATACGGGGAGACGTGATCACGTCCCCCCGCGTCAAGAGCAAAGACCCCCTGGAAACAGGAACAGGGGAAACGACGAATGTCCACACCGCCCAAGGAATCCTTTGCGCGACCAGGGCCATTATCACGACCGACATTACAACCGGCCGCCTTCTCGATCCCCGAACAGTAGCGAAGAAGACGACCCTCGCGGTCCCCTATCATAAGTTATTATGGAGGCACCCATTCCCCCAGATATGGAGAAACCTCCCCCATCTTAAGAAGTACGACGACATTGTCGATTTAGTCGACCATATCGACGGGTTCGAGGCAATGCTGCATTATCATAACATTGAGGGACCGATCAAATGCCAGTTGTTCCCCACGACTTTGCGAAAAGCTACGATGGACTGGTATAAGAGCCTCTCCCCAGGGTAAATTACCTCCTGGAGGAATTTAAAAAACCAGTTCATCAGTTTATTCACTGCCTCACGTCGACATCCGAAGACTTTAGCAGAACTCAAGGCCATCGTCCAAATAAATGACGAGACCCTCAGGGATTTTATTGATCGATTCAATCGCGAGGCCATCCAGGTCCCCTGCACCGATCACGTGAAGAGAAGCTTGCTTGAGAGGGGACTCCTCCCGGACATGGAGTTCAGAAAAGCCCTTGACATCGAACCGCCGTGGACATTCCATGCTCTCCTCGAGAAGGCTATGGCCTATATGGACTATGAGGAGAGGGAAGCGGCCAATAGAGCCTGGGACCCGAGGAATCGTGGATCAACCAGCAATCTGCGACAAGATTCTGGCCCTCCTCGACGAACGAACGAAGAGGATGGATGACAAACCATGGGATCCTCGCGAGCAAAGAGGGCCCGCAGGGAGATTTATTGAGTACACTCTGCTGACAGCTTCCTGCGAGCTCATCTTAGCGGAGTGTGCTAGTATTGATTTCAAGGACGGCAACGTCAGGCGTCCTCGCTCCGCTCCTGCTAATCTTGGGGCTGATCGGAGCAAATACTGCGAAAATCATCGAAGTCACGGACATCTGACTAAAGACTGTGTCCATCTTAAAAATGCTATTGAGACCCTCATTAAAGGGGGGAAGACTCGGGCAATATCGGTGCAACGATGCCCCTCGTCGAGATGCCTGCGACACAAAGGAGATTGAGGAGGATGCCCGACCATCAGACGAGACGGTCCCCATCCAGACAACATTCTCCGTTACAAGACCAGAGGACTTCTACGTCCCCGACGATATCGAAGAGCCTCTGTCCATGCACAGTAGGTGGGAAAGGTTCCCCTCCGCCATGGTCATAAAGGGAGGGGGTTCAACGATATAATTATAAACTTCGCGAAGAGGAAACTGGAAGAACTGGTCGACACGGCCCCCCGCAAAGGGTGACATTCGAGAGGGTTAAGGGCAGATCGGAGCCGATCACATTCTACCTCGAAGAATTTCCAGGAGGGGCCCCTAACTCAAGTATTACCCTTCTGGTTAGGGCTAGGATGGCTAATTTTGACGTTCATCGTGTCTTGGTCGACGAAGGGAGTTCTGTCGATGTAATATATAACCAACTGTTCTGAACCCTACAGCTCAAAGACACCCACCTTTCACCATATGTGGGGTCTGACCTACAAGGCTTCAACGACTCAACATCCAAACCTTAGGGGTACGTGGAGCTCTTTGTCACCTTCGGTAAGGATACCGCCACCAGGCAAGTCAAGGTGCGATTTCTGGTCATCGACTTCCTGTCTCTCTACAACTGTATCCTGGGGAGACCAACACTGGCGAAACTAACCGTTGTTCCCTCCACCGTCCATCTGAAGATGAAATTCTACACAAAGAGAGGATGTGTCGCCACCATCCAAGGTGACCTAGCAGCTGCCCGAAGATGCTTCAACGCGGCGTCAAAGAGACAGAGCACGGTCGACACTAGAGCACGACCCGCCAAGAGAGATGATGCAGCACGACCAGAGCCACAACCCGATAAGACAAAAGAACATAGATCTCTTCCAAAGGTCGACTCCATTTCGCTGGACACCCGCTTCGACCAAGATGAAGCACCCAACAATGAGCAAGGACTCCTCTGACCAATCCTGGATGGAGACTTTCAGCTTGTCCCCCTTGGTGAAGACCTCACAAAGGCGTGAAGATCGGCACCAGACTAGCCGACCTGCCGAGGAAGCAGATAAAGGCTTGCTTGATGGAGAATGAGGACCTGTTCGCGTGGAGTGCTGCAGAGATGCCCGGTCTCGACCCTGAGGTTGCTTGCCACCAACTGGCCATTGATCCAACTGTTAGGGCAATAGTACAACATAGACGTAGGCAGTCTCCCGAGAAAGCGGAGACTGCTGAAAATGCTGTAAAAGACCTCCTAGAAGCAAATTTTATTTCCGAAGCCAGGTATTCAACCTAGATGTCAAATGTTGTACTAGTTAAAAATAATAATGGAAAGTGGCGTATGTGTGTTGGCTATACCAATCTTAATCGGGCATGCCCCAAAGATGCATTCCCCTTGCCTAATATTGACATGATGGTCGACAACTCAGCCGACTATAAAATTTTATCTTTCATGGACGCCTACTCGGGCTACAACCAAATTCCGACGGTGATGAGCGACAAGCACTGCACCATTTTCATGACCAGCTCGAGCAATTATTACTACAGCGTAATGCCTTTCGGTCTGAAAAACGCAGAGGCGACATACCAGCGGATGATGAATAAAGTCTTCCGCAACGAGATCCGAGATATGCTCGAGGTATACATGAACGACATGATCGTCAAATCCTGAGTGGAGACCGGCCACGCTTCCCACCTCAGAAAGGTCTTTGTCCAAGCGAGGCAATGTAGAATGAGGTTCAATCCCGAGAAGTGCATGTT